TGGGGGGGGGGGGGGGGTGGTGGTAGTGGGCTTCGCGCGCAGCCTAACAGAGAGAAGAGAGAGGGTGGACGAGGTGCGAGGGATGGACGCATAGGTATGTGTGTGTGTGAGTGCGCGCGCGCTGGCACCGCAGGCCAGGCCAGGGGATGGATGCTTCTTCAGTTGCTCGGGATTCGGCGTCTGGTGCATTTGCCGGCTGTGGGAGAACCGCTCGAACTCTCCGTACGTGTGCGACTCACTTTCTTTTAATTCCAATTTCAATTACACCTTCCTGCCCTCGTTTCCCTCCTATCGCGACACGGAGGAAGGCCTTTTTTCAATCCTTCATTATCTTTATTCCATTTCCTTCTTTCCTATTTCTTCGTTTTGTTCTGTTTTTGCGCGTATCGGCGATTGGGTCACGAGCTTGACAAACTCCTCGCTCTCCGCGGTTTCCCAATTCGTCTTTCGAATTTGTTAACGATGCGCTGTCCAATGTGCCTCATGTGCCTCGCTCGAGCAAGTGCACGGACTTCTCATTCATTCTTATCTCGTTGTTTTGCGTAATCTTCGGGCCTCTATTTCGCTGTCTTGTTCAAATATCCCTGGATGCTTGAATTTTCTCGAGCGAGCTTTAGGGTAAAAGCGAAGCCTTCCTTCGCAGAATTTCAAGTCGCATCTCGTAGGCAGTCATAGCCAGCACGAAACAAGTCTGTATTTATTCTTAAATTGATTCGTTTCCAGCTCGAGATATTCTCCATTTAATATTATAGATATTCTCCATTTAATATTATAGACCAACCCACTAAAGCCACTTACATGTTATAGCTTGATTTCTTCGAACGAAACTCTTCGTTATCTCCTCTAAAAGCGCACTAATTCAATGCAATGTGTATAATCACAACTAAAAGAATTAGGAGGATTTTTTCCTCTTCTTTTCGTTCGTTTCTTTTCTTTTCATTCTCTCTCTCTCTCTCTCTCTCTTTCTCTCTTTCTCTCATTCTCTTCTTTATAATTTTGTTCTCTATCTTTTTTTCTCCTTCTGCCATCCGCAATTCCATCCTCAGCGAAAAAATTGGATAAAGTTATCCTTACCTCTCTTTCTTTCTCCTTCCACTAAAAAACTTCACTCCAAGAATATTAAAGTGCACTTGAATACAAAGAGCCATTATTGCTACAGTGATTTTTCATTTTTCACAATCTGATTTTAACGACCATTACTGTAGTAGTGATTGCTCGAGAATGGACTACCGCACATATCGTATCTTTTGCATTAAACTATTTGATCACATTACTTATTATAACATTGTACGAACATTGGAACGCTAATCTTTTAATAATGCTTAAACAAAAGAACAAAATAAAACGATAAATAAAAATAAGCAAAAAAGCGAGGGTAAAGTGTCTGCCGAATGAAAAATAAATCTCGTCCTAACAAGATCTTAAAATTTCGGCTTTACGTAGAAGATTCAGAGACCTAGGCGATTTAATGATATCACTTGACATTAAATCAATTGAAACGGGCGATTAATACACGATCGAAGCGATGGTAATTGAAGTCGTTGCAACGACTTTGCCTCATGATTTTCTACAAATAGTGCCGAACTCACCGGCAAATTAGTTTTGACGTTGCGTGCCAGTTGAACCACACAGGCAAAACCGCATAAAACATTCGCGTCTTGTCAAAAATTACGAAGCGAGGATATCGTAGGTCCAGGCTTCGTCAAAGATCCCCTTGCCGTCACAGCATCCAAATCAGGATAACGATCGAGCTTAAGGAGCGGATTGGAATTGCGGGCAAGAGGTGCTCGAGAGGCGTGCGAGGAGCACGAGAGAGGCTTCCTCGGCGGAAGTAGCGACTCGCGTCTCCGCAGACTTTAGGCGCGGCGACGATTCAGCAGCATGTCCGCACTGACCTGATAAACCGAGGTCGGGGCGTTAATAGCCGAACGGCTTCGTCATTGCGCGTCGTGGTGCGACGACCGCCGCGGCTGCGGACAATCGATGATCACTTAGCTGGCGAAACGAGCCCACGGCCTACGTATTTCTGCGCCTACGCGCGCGCGCATACACACGCACAGACAGATAGATATATAGTTATATAGATAGAGAGGGAGAGAGAGAGAGAGAGAGAGAGAGAGAGAGAGAGAGAGAGCAAAGAAATGTAAAGCAAAGTAAATGCAGCATGACCGCTCGCTTCCTCTATCTGGGATTTGCCATTTATTTTTCGCGGGCCAAGTCCTGCCGAGACTCCCCGTTCCCATGGATCTCGTCTTTTACGAAGTCCTCCTCGTGCTCTTTGGCCCGTGAGAGGATTTTCTGCATCTGTGAGGCTTTTCAGGGAGAGTTAGGCCTCGAGGAGCGTTGATACTTCCGATAGGAGACTTTTTATTTCCACTCAAATGCCCGACTATTATCTTCACTGCAACAATTCGTGTTTACGCTCATTGTCTGCATGTGGCTCGCGAAGTGAATCTCATTGGGGGTGATTTTTCTTCCTTTTCTATAGCAAGACCAACCTAGAGCAGTAAACTCATTTAAATGAAAAATTACTTTTCGCTGGTAGCTCTTTGTATGTAATGCTACCTTTATCGCATTTCACTTAGGAGCAATTTTAATTTAAAACTCCTTAATCCTTCGCGTCCGAATACACTTCACCGGGACTAGAACAGTTAACACGTTTCTGCTATTATTCAATGTTTATCAACTAATACATATCATAACATCCGAGAATATATACTATTTGCAATGAATTATCAAAATAAATCATCGAGTGAAAATAATGAAAATAGCGAGCTTTGTGCACTTTGTTTGAGAATAAAAAGTTCACATGGATTAGGATGGCCAGAGTACAATTACGCAAATAATGGAACATAACGTCACTGCGACGTGTTGCTGAACAAGTATTGAAAAAAATAGAATATTTAATAGTAAACAATATCGATTGAAATATGAAAAATTCAATTAAAGGAGAAAAGACAATGGAAAGATTGGTATAAAGGACGGTAGAGAGGTTCGATAAGACTTTATCGGTGGCTTTAAAATTGACGTCTCAGGTTTCGTTCACACCGAGTGAAATGAATTTTCTCATCGTGTGAAATAGTCTCGAGTGTATTACGGATAATGAGTGACAGATAGATGAGGTGAGGGGGAGAGGGAGAGAGATCGATTGATCATAGATTTGATATCCTAATACAGTTTACAAAATTGTAGACGATAAGATTTAAAATCTATCGAATCCGAATGTGCAAATGGTAAAATTGCAGGATTGTTGATACGCGTGCATTTGTATGAAAGTATGGGGGAGGAAAACTTTCCATGACTTAGTCATACAACAAATGACAAGTCATTATTAGATTTGACACTGACGAATTGGTCTTAACTTACCTCTTTCCGTTGTTATTCAATCCACTTCCACACTGAATTAAATAAATTGCTCTCGCTCTCGCTCCTCCCCCCTCTCTGTCATTCATTTTATTCAACAACGATCGAATGATGATGGCTTGGCATCAACTAAAATTCTATATTATTTTTTGGCCGTATAATGAAGAGAACAGAGCATATAGTTAATTAAAAAGAGAACAAATTTGTTTTGACCTTTGCACATTGTAGATTTTGTAAATTCCGTGAATTGGAAAAGCATTATTTTAATGACACTCTTTTACAAATTATTACGAAAGTTCTTTAATTTATTTTCAATTATTATTATTTGAATTTTAAATGTCAAGCCATACTATAAAATTAACTTACTATGAGGAATAACAAATTTAAATGTCTGTAAATCGAATGAAGATTTATACTTTTTAGCCTCGTCTTTAATAAATAATAAGTAATGATAATTGATTAAATATTACGAGAGAAATCTTGAGTTTAATTTTTTTTTTAATAAATTAGTCAAACAGACGTCAATGAAAAGAGTATCATGAAAAATTGTGATTATCGAATATTTATTAGACCTTTCGAAGCTCATACTACTTCTCGAACGTCAAAAGTAAGAGAAAGAGAGGCAGTGAAAAATGTATGACTTTTGTTAAGATTAGCAAACGAAATTGATAGTATCTTTCTTTATGATATTTATGTTTAGATATTATTGTTCCATTCGATTACATTTTGAAGTTATTGTTTGAATGCGATTGAGTTTGAAAATCAGTAGGAGAGGAATATCATTGGTGTGAATTACGATCGACAACATCATGCTTCGGAAAATTGATTCCAATTTAAAATTCGATTTTATGATTAAAGATTCGGTTATAACGCTAATAGTAATAATATCACATACTTACGTGAAATATGATATTTTGAATATAAAGCAATCGTTTCAAATAGACTCCGTTTGATTATTAAAATTAATAAGCCTTTTTTCTTCTTTTTTTTCTTCTGTTTTTAGCACGAGTTGTGTATGTATTTATGTTTTTGTAAGCGTGTAGGAGAGTAGAGTTAAAATGGCTCAAGTTGTTCTTTTTTGAATTAGAATTCTTTCTACAATAGTCGGCACTCGATGATACGAGGTTTGCTTATCTTTTAATATTAGTCGCTTTTGCCCGCTCTT